AGACCTAATACACCGAACGTCTAATACGTTGAATACACAAGCCCTACAACGACATATTCATCAAAGGGGTATTCCACAGATTCTAAGTATTCGGTTATCTGCACAGATGCTGGAGGATGATTACTGTTGGCATGCTATGACCTCAGGAGAGTATACAGTTAAGTCGGGTTATGAACTAGCACGGCTCCACAAGGATGCGGAGACACAATTTCTGCTCCAATTACCATCGGACGCACCACTTAAAGCGTTTGTCTGGAAAATTCTCGCCCCCAACAAGCTAAAATATTTCCTTTGGCAGTGTCTGGCGGGGGCAGTGGCGGTCAACGAGCGTCTCAACTATCGATAAATTCGCTCTACATCTATTTGTCCTCAATGCGATTCGCCAAAAGAGTCCATCAACCATACGATTTTCTTGTGCCCAAAAGCTAGACAGACGTGGGACCTTTCCTTTATTCATTGGGGAGACACAACTGGCCCATCTGCGAGCCTAAGGTCTAATTTTGATCACCTATTCTGACGCATTCCAAGGACCGAAGCACTTTCGAAGGCTACTCAGGCTATCCCATGGATAATTGGAAAGCCAGGATTGACAAAGTGTTTAATGCAGTGGACAGAGCTCCATCCGAAATCATAACCATGACAACAAAGGAAGCTAGGGAGTGGATATATACCAACAGTCGGAATAGGTAATACCAGGAAGTCGCCCTTCGGGACCATCTCTGCCACACAGTATTTTCATCTGCTGGGTTGACGGCTCATGGAAGACGGATAACTGCACAAGCGGTCTGGGATGGATCCTGCAGCTCTAAGATGGTACAACCGACCTGATCAGACTACAAGGGAACCATCGAAGTATCTCACCTCTACATACATAGCTCCACATTCTCATTTGGGCAATGCAATTCTTGCTCTAAAAAAGACGGTTTTGCTCCCTATTTATCACAGATTCGACAGAGTTAGTGAAGATGGTGACTTCGCCACACGATTAGCCAGGATTCCAATCGAAATTGCGTGATTTGGCAGAGCCCTCAGGGAATCTTTCCCCGAATTCGATCTTATCTATCGGCAACGGGAGAATAATAAAAGAGCGGTTTTGCTTGCAAAGACTACGTGCACTCGAGAGACTATCTTTTCTTTTATTGACACTTCAGTTCCTTATTGGCTCCCGGATATAGACAATGTATATGTTTAATCGATAATGAAATGTGTTCGTGATAAAAAAAAAATCATTCTCAAATACAATTAAGGAGATAACCTAGTTATCACAGCGTTAGATTGCCATGCATGTGGATTATGACCAAAATGCTCAATTAGTGATATATAATTTTGTTTTACGTCCTAATGGTCATGAGGACCTTGGTATAAACATCTATAACGCATATCTATTATGTGTAAGGCAAAAGACTCACCAGGTTTTCCTATTTTAGGGCTTTTTTTTTCAAGAATTCCTACACTTTTTTTCAATATATAATTATGTGAATTGATTTACTAAATGAACATTGGTAAACTGAGGTTGATAAAGACAAAATTCATACACTAATTAAACAATTTTACACACCTTCCAAAATGATAACGGGTCACAATATCATTTATTGGTTAAACTAAGTGTGTTCCCGCATTATACACTGAGATAATGATTTTTCAAAAACTAAGCAATTTGATATGGTGCGTAAAGATCACCAAAATCATTTTCGATGTTTTTAATCTTCTATGTTTTTCACCTTGTTACCACCTTCATCTTTTGAATTTTTCTTTGTAATATGGTATATAAAGTTTTCTTTTTATTTTTCTCCACATACTTGTGATTGATAAATGAATTTTGTTTTGAAAAATATATGGTAATGGAGAAAATAAAATTTAAAATTTATTTAATTTTGCTATTGATTTTGGATTAATTCGATGAGTTAATACTTTTTAATTGAATTTGAAAACAAAATTAATGACTTTCTACCAATAAAATTTATATTTGAGATGAGTTATGCAAAAAAAAACACTCATTGGTTAGTCAAAATAATTTTCATAGCTTTACATATATTATTTATCAAGTTTTAATATACAAAAAAGGTAATAATTAAAAAAAAATTGGAATTAAAAGAATTTTTTTTTTATAGTTGAATCACAAAATTTTTAAATATTTATTTAAGTAATATGTAGTTTTTCGTTGATTTCAAAATAAATTTTCAAAGAAATAAATATAATTTAAGGTTTGAGTCGTAGGAGGTCACTGTTGTATTCG